GGAATGTTCACTGGACAAGAAACCCCATTGTGGTCCCCAGTTCACCAACCATTTCAGTTGATTGCCACCACGGAAGGCACGACCAATTTCTTCGGAAAAACTAAATTCTGTAACGGCGCCCAATTGATTATAGTCGCATTTAGTAATAGTCTGTCCACCATGATCGATAACTTCCTGATAGATAAAGGGACGGGTACTGGCAGGGAAAGCATGCTGGTATTTACATTGCGAACACGTTCATAAATAATCTCAACCCATTTCAGATCATTTATGAACGTGAGGGATAGAGTGAGAAGAAGAGGAAATTGTAATAATATAAAAGAAGCATAAATATGAAGAGAAAGAAAGAGGAAATAATAGAAAGAGAAGGCCTATGGGGCCATATCCATATCCTGCAGGGATAATACAATCTTTATAGGATCTCAAGAAGATCCACAGAGGATATTCTATCCTAAGAAGATCTCCAGTGGGTATTTTATTTGACACTAATGCTCAGCTCTGCCTCAGACGCGAACTTCAACCTTATGAAGATTAATATAGCCTCCGACCCAGCTGACACTACAGCTGGGTATCTTAATCACATCAAAGCCACACCCTCTATTCGCCAAGGGCCATATGGTGTGGTACTGCAGCATGCCAAGGAAACTGCTTTACCTGTGGTTCTGAGATAAACAGCCACGCAGGGCAAAAAATTCCAAAAGTTGATGCCCGAAAGAGACTTCGGAAACCCATCTCCCAACTCTGACACTCATAATACTAAGTTCAGGAAGTCATATTGTCAAATTCTAAGAAGATCTCCAATGGGGTTATTATCGGAGGAAGAACTGTAGAGGGATTTCATCTATAGAAGATCTTTCAACGATCTCACCGTTCAGTCAGCAAGAGCCGCCAGGTATGGTACAGAAGCATGGTGGAAACTGTGTTACCTGTGGTTCAGAGGTAAAAATCAGGGCATCGAAGCCAATAATTGATGCTCCAATGTAACTTCGGAAAACCATCTCCCGACTCCGGCGCCCAAAAGTGTTAATTCCAAAGAGACACTGGTCAGGAAGTCATATTAACAAAGATACTGCTATTATCAGAGATATGTCGATCAAGACCCCAATAAATTTAGCGATAATCCTAAGAAGATCTTCAATGGGTTTTCTATCCTAGAAAAAAACTCCAAAGGGCATTCTTTTCATAAAATATCACCAATGGGACTTTTATCTATAGAAGATCCCCGAGGGTCTTCTATTTATTCTATTTGTAGAAAACTTCCCAAGGATCTACTGTATGTAGAACACTTTCCAATGGTCTTCTGTCTATGAAAGACTTTCCAATGTGCTTCTATCTATAGAAGACCTCCCAAGGGCCTTCTATCTGTTTTAAGACCTTCCATGGGATTTCTACCTATAGAAGGCCTACCAATGGGCTTCTATCTGTAGAAGAGCTCGCAAGGACCTTCTATCTGGAAGAGTCCTCTTATGGGTTTTAAATTTGTTTGAAGATTACTCAAGAGGTTTCTACCTATAAAGGTCTTCTATCTGTTTGAAGACCACTCAAGGAACCTTTGGAAGGTCTTCCACCCAAACCTTCCAGAAGGTTTTCTGCCGATGGATGTCCTCCAGAAGGTTGTCTATGTAAAGAAGAACTCCATGAAGTCTTCAGTTTATATAGAGGATCTCAAAAGGGGATTTTTCTATTCATGGGAAGGTCTTCTATACATAGACGCCATGCAGGTCATAGAAGACCTTGCAATGTTATAAGGTAAATACCAGATCTTCCATCTGTAGAGGGTTTTCCAACTACAGGAGACCTCCAGAGAATTTTCTATACATGGATACACCTTTCAGAAGGGGTTTTATAAATTGAAGACCTCTCGAGGGTCTTCTTACCGTAGAATATATTATTTCTATTTGAAGAACTTCTGAGGATCCTGTATATACAGAAGACTTCTAGAAAAATGTTCCCAGTGTCTTTTTTCTATAGAAGTCGTTCCGAGGGTCTTCTTTCCTGAGAAGCCATCAAATTGTTGGAATTCGACCATCCGTATGTTTTTTTATAAATAAATACTCTTGGACATTCTTCTATAGATAAGATTGCCACCACGGAAGGCACGACAAATTTCTTCGGAAAAACTAAATTCTGTAACGGAGCCCAATTGATTGCATTCGCATTTTGTGACAGTTTGTCCACCATGATCGATAACTTCCTGATAGATAAATGGACGGGTACTGGCAGGGAATCCATGCTGGTATTTACATTGCGAACACGTTCATAAATGATCTGAACCCATTTCAGATCATTTATAAACGTGAGGGATAGAGTGAGAAGAAGAGGAAATTGGAATAATATAAAAGAAGCATAAATATGAAGAGAAAGAAGGAGGAAATAATAGAAAGAGAAGGCCTATGGGGCCCTATCCATATCCTGCAGGGATAATACAATCTTTATAGGATCTCAAGAAGATCCACAGAGGATATTCTATCCTAAGAAGATCTCCAGTAGGTATTTTATTTGAAACTAATGCTCAGCTCTGTCTCAGACGCGAACTTCGCTTTTAGCTACCAAAAGCTCACACTCTACGTATAGGATCTTTCAACCTCGTGAATATTAAGATAGGCCACACCCTCTATTCGCCAAGGGCCATAAGGTGTGGTACTGAAGCATGCCAAGGAAACTGCTTTATCTATGGTTCTGAGATAAACAGCCACGCAGGGCATAAAATGCCAAAAGTTTATGCTGGAAAGAGACTTCGGAAACCCATCTCCCGACTCCGACACTCATAATACTAAGTCCAGGAAGTCATATTGTCAAATCCTAAGAAGATCTCCAATGGGGTTATTATCGTAGGAAGAACTTTAGAGGGTTTTTCATCTGTAGAAGATCTTTCAAGGATCTCACCGTTCAATCAGCAAGAGCCGCCAGGTATGGTACAGAAGCATGGGGGAAACTGCCTTACCTGTGGTTCAGACGTAAACAGCAGGGCATCGAAGCCAATAATTGATGCTCCAATGTAACTTCGGAAAACCATCTCCCGACTCCGGCGCCCAAAAGTGTTAATTCCAAAGAGACACTGGACAGGATGTCATATTAACAAAGATACTGCTATTATCAGAGATATGTCGATCAAGACCGCAATAAATTTAGCGACAATCCTAAGAAGATCTTCAATGGGTTTTCTATCCTAGAAACAACTTCAAAGGGCATTCTTTTCATAAAATATCACCAATGGGTCTTTTATCTATAAAAGATTCCCAAGGGTCTTCTATTTATTCTATTTGTAGAAAACTTCCCAAGGATCTACTGTATGTAGAACACTTTCCAATGGTCTTCTGTCTATGAAAGTCTTTCCAATGTTCTTCTATCTGTAGAAGATCTCCCAAGGACCTTCTATCTGTTTTAAGACCTTCGATCAAGACCCCAATAAATTCAGCGACAATCCTTCAATGGGTTTTCTATCCTAGAAACAACTCCAAAGGGCATTCTTTTCATAAAATATCACCAATGGGTCTTTTATCTATAGAAGATTCCCAAGGGTCTTCTATTTATTCTATTTGTAGAAAACTTCCCAAGGATCTACTGTATGTAGAACACTTTCCAATGTTCTTTTGTCTATGAAAGACTTTCCAATGTTCTTCTATCTATAGAAGACCTCCCAAGGGCCTTCTATCTGTTTTAAGACCTTCCATGGGATTTCTACCTATAGAAGGCCTACCAATGGGCTTCTATCTGTAGAAGAGCTCGCAAGGACCTTCTATCTGGAAGAGTCCTCTTATGGGTTTTAAATTTGTTTGAAGATTACTCAAGAGGTTTCTACCAATAAAGGCCTCCTATCTGTTTGAAGACCACTCAAGGGACTTTTGGAAGGTCTTCCACCCAAAGATTACCTCCAGAAGGTTTTCTGCTGATGTAAGTCCTCCAGAAGGTTGTCTATGTAAAGAAGAACTCCATGAAGTCTTCAGTTTATATAGAGGATCTCAAAAGGGGGTTTTCCTATTCATAGAAAGGTCTTCTATACATAGACGCCATACAGGCTATAGAAGACCTTGCAAGGTTATAAGGTAAATACCAGATATTCCATCTGTAGATGGTTTTCCAACTACAGGAGACCTCCAGAGAATTGTCTATACATGGATACACCTTTCAGAAGGGGTTTTATAAATAGAAGACCTCTCGAGGGTCTTCTTACCGTAGAATATCTTCTTTCTATTTGAAGAAGAACTTCTGAGGGTACAGAAGACTTGAAGAAAAATGTTTCGAGTGTCTTTTTTTATAGAAGTCGTTCCGAGGGTATTCTTTCCAGAGAAGCCATCAAATTGCTGGAATTGGACCATCCGGAAGTTTTTTTTTATAAATAAAATACTCTTGGACATTCTTCTAAAGATAAGAAACCCTTGGGAGTTATTCTATAAATAGATGATCCTTGGGAGGTTCCGATACATTTTCGGTATGCTGAAGGACCAAGCCTATTTTTGCTGAGTGTCTAACAGAAAAATTTTAATGACATATCCCTCATATAACGATCCCGATCAACTTAAAATATTTTGAATGCCCAAAGCCTCTCATGGTGGAGGGTATAATAAGTTCGTTCCGATCGAAGTTAACGACCTTATTTCTAATTTTTCCTCATTTCTTGATCGAAATCTAATTCCTATTAACTTCCAATTATTTCAACGTCACAGTAGAGGATCGTAAACCCGTATTGTCGGAATACCAGAAAAAACTGGCCACCAAAGTAAAAATTTACAACCTCAACTATGCGATAAGAATTCTCCCGTTCGGTAAAGACCAAATCACTGCAGCAATGAAAACAAAAGTACAAAAAAATTGACAAGAAAATCCCATTTCATCTTATCGCCCACACGACGAAGATAATTCTGAACCATGACGATTTTATAGCACACCGTGCCGAAAGAACGGATCGAAAGCTATAAATTGCCCTGAATTGGAAATCGGATGGTTTATTTGTATTACAATTGTTCGGCAGAGCGGAGGTAACATCACGGTAATAACAAATGTTTAAATTTAATGCCACGTGGGCCTTGATGGCCCTCTTGGCCATGACCTTCGCGGGCAATAGTGTCAACGGCCAACATAACCCTCATTGGTGGAACGGACGCAACACAATCGTACATCTCTTCGAGTGGAAGTGGTTGGACATTGCCCGAGAATGTGAGGAGTTCTTGGCTCCACGAGGTTTTGCCGGTGTTCAAGTTTCCCCTGTAACGGAAAATGTCATAGTCGATAAGAGGCCTTGGTGGGAACGTTATCAACCACTGTCCTATAAATTGGAAACACGTTCCGGTTCGGAAGCAGAATTCGCCGAAATGTGTCGTCGCTGCAATGCAGTGGGTATTCGTATTTATGTTGATGTCATCCTAAATCACATGGCTGCTGATCAAGGTAAAACGGCCGTCGGAACCGCTGGATCTCAAGCTGAACCTGGTATGAAAGTTTATCCTGCTGTTCCATATTCTGGCATGGATTTCCATGAGACTTGCGGAATTTATGATTGGAATGATCGTTATCAAGTGCAAAATTGTGAATTGGTTGGACTGAAGGATTTGGATCAAAGCAAGGAATGGGTTCGTGATCGTTTAGTGGAATTTTTGGATCATTTGGTTGAATTGGGTGTGGCCGGTTTCCGTGTGGATGCTGCTAAACATATGCGTGCGGATGATTTGAAGGTAAGGAAATACGATGGGGATTTTTTTGAGGGAGAGGGAATTTGGTATAAGTCTCCTAGAGGAGGCCTTGAAGCGTCTGAATACTATTCACAAGTCTCTTAGGAGGTCTTCAATAGATAGATGATGACTTCCGTGGGTGGTAGTTACTCTGGAGGTCTACTGTAGGTTTCCTGTAGGTGAGAGAGTCTCTGGAGGTCGTATATGAATAAAATACCCTCGGGTGTCCTTTTGTAGATACAAGATCCGCAGGAGGTCTTCAAGAAACTCGAAAGGCTTTCTATAGCCAGAACACCCAGTTGAGGTAGAAGGACCTTGGGAGATCTTCTATAGATAAAAGAGCCTCTAGTGGTCGTCTAGACCTCTCGGTCAAATTGCTGGTCTCTTATAGATAGAGGTGGTCTTCTACAGTTTGAAGACCTCTTGGGAGGTCGTCTATAGTTAGAAGGCTCTTTGTAGGTCTTTTATAGGTAGAAGACTCTCGGGAGGTCTTAAATCGGTGGAAGACCTTCAGGAAGACTTCCATGGATAGAAGTTACTCTGGAGGTCTTCTGTAGGTGGAAAAGTTTTTAGAGGTCGTATATGGATAGAAGACCCTCCGTTTTATAGATCGAGGAGGTCTCCTATAGATAGAAGACCCTTAGGAGGTCTTCTATAGACAGAAGACGCTTGAGAGATCTCCTATAGACAGAAGGCGCTTGAAAGATCTGCTATAGATAGAAGGCCTTGTGTAGGTCTTATATTGACAGAAGAACCTTCAGAGGTCTTTTATAGATAGAAGACCCTCGGGAGGTCTTCTATAGATAGAAGCCCCTTGGGAGTTCTCCTATATATAGAAGGCCCTGAGGAGGTCGTCTATAAACAGAAGAAACTTTGGAGGTCCTTTATAAATATAAGTCCTTTGGGAGGTTTTCTAAGACCCTTGGGAGGTCTCCTACAAATAGAAGACCATTGGGAGTTCTTATATAAATAGAAGAACTTTTGGAAGTCCTCCATAAATAGAGGAGCCTTGGGAGGTCTTCTATAAACGGAAGACTCTTGAGAGGTTTTCTATAAATAGAGGATCCTTGGAAGGTTTTCTATTTTCTGTGGGGTCATGCTCAGTGTCCATTTGGATTTAGCAGTTTTGGATGCCGGAGTCGTGAGATGGTTTTCCGAAGTCTCTTTGTAGAATTAACTTCTGACTTCGTTGCCCTGCGTAGCTATTTAACTCGATTCCGACATCCAAAGTGCTTTGTACTAAGCACTTTGGATGTCAGAGTCGGGATATGGGTTTCCGAAGCCTCTCTGGAGGTCTTCTATGGATATTGAATAATTCCTATAGAGATCGAATAATCCCTATAGAAATTTGAATAATCCCTGCAGGATATGGAGGGAGGCTTTCTCTTTCTATTATTGCATCTTCTTTTCTCTTTGCATTTTCAGTTCTACCTTTTATTCCAATTTTCTTTTCTCCTTCTTCCCTTTCCAGATAATTTACGAACGTGTTCGCAACTTAAACACCAGCCATGGCTTCCCAGCCAATTCTCGCCCCTTCATCTTTCAAGAAGTTATCGATCATGGTGGACAGACTATTACAAAATACGAATATAATCAATTGGGCGCCGTTACAGAATTTAGTTTTTCCGAAGAAATTGGTCGTGCCTTCCGTGGTGGCAATCAACTGAAATGGTTGGTGAGTTGGGGTCCGCAATGGGGTTTCTTGCCGAGTGAACATGCTTTGGTATTTGTGGATAATCATGACAATCAGCGAGATGGTGGTCACGTGTTGACCTATAAACAATCGAAACAATATAAAATGGCTACAGCTTTTGGTCTGGCTTATCCCTATGGTATTAGTCGAATTATGTCATCGTTTGATTTTACCGATCGTGATCAGCCACCACCACAGACGGCAGATGGTAAACTGATTTCGCCACAATTTGATGCAGTGACGGGTGCCTGTATTAATGGCTGGATTTGTGAACATAGATGGCGTCAGATTTATAATATGATTGAATTTAAAAATGTTGCCGGTGGAGCGGGAGTTAATGATTGGTGGGATAATGGTGATAATCAAATTGCCTTCTGTCGCGGTGATCGCGCTTTTGTGGCTTTCAATGGTAATGGTTATGATTTGAATGAACGTTTGATGACGTGTTTGGCGCCGGGTACCTATTGCGATGTGATTTCGGGCGCCAAAATTAATGGTAAATGTACGGGTAAGACGGTGGAGGTTGAATTGTGGGGTTATGCCCAAATTAAAATTGGCGCAAATGAGGAGGATGGTGTTTTGGCCATACATCAAAATTCGAAATTGTAAAGGAAATTAATTCAATATTTTGTTTAGAAAAATATAAAAGGAAGATCTAAAAATTTTCGAAAGGTCTTCTACGCTCAGGCGACCAATGTCTTTTAATAAAGAGTTTATCTAGAGAGTATTTTTGATTTTTGGAAGTCTTATATTAAGAAAACACCCCGATGACTCTCACTTTTACACCCGTCTGTATCACTTTTGTCAATGGGGGCTACTCTTTCGTCATCTGGAATCATTTGTTGATTTATGGCTTCATTGCGTTTTACGTTTTGATGTTGGCTTCGAAGGTTCTTGGGAAGACTTGTCGCTTGGTCTGACATCTTCCTTCGCAGAAGGACCTTCTTTGGCGTTTCAAGAAGGTTTATATCATAAAAAATTACTAATGTCTCTCAAAGATACTCCGATTGGGATCAGTTTTTATACCCTACACAACTATGTTGTCAGGGTATTGTGCAGCCCCAAGAGTTTGTAACGCCGCGAAATATTGGTCCTAGACCAACCTTTAAGTATACCGATCATCTCGACCAGCTGAGTCGATCTAGACATGTGTGTTCGTCCGTCCGCCTGTCCATTATAATTTGTAAACACAATACAGGCCACAGTTATGGACCATGTAGGATGGGTTATGGCCAATGAAGACCCCTATTGTTTTTGGTAAAGATCGGTTAATATTTAGGGGATGAAATGGACTAAATATTTAATTTTTGTCGGTTTTTCTGATCGCTCCAGAGACCTCAATTATGGCCCAAACATTGCGAATTTGTACATGGAGAAGGGGATCGTACCAAAGAACAAGCATTCATGTTTTCATAAAGATTGGTCAATATTTAGCGGGTCAAATGGACTCCGACTTTTTTGTGAGAAATTACAAAATTTGTATTCAATGGCGTATATATTTGGTTCTGAAGGACATAGACCCTAGAAGTTAGTAGTATATCCAAGAGGAGTGGTTGACCGTTATAGTGATACCAAGTATATGGTCGTATGTACTCAGATGTGGGAGTTACACTCAAAAATTTACAGAAAGTTCGATTTTCGCGGACGTTGTGTAGGGTATCATACGGTCGGCCGCGATACTGCTCCGATCACTGGTTTTTAATTAAGACCATTTGTCGAGTTATCGTCTCATTACGTCTTTATGCGGGCTTTGAAGGTTCTGGCGAAGACTTGTCATTTCGTCTGGCATTCGTCTTTTTTTCGCAGACGTTACGAATGTCTTCTTTGTATCAGTTTTTGGATCTCCTATTTTTTTGGTTGTTCTTCATTACCAGGAGCTTTGAGGTGGGAGGAGCCTTCCGACTCGTTCGCTTTATACATTGGGTGCCCTTAGTCACAACATTGACTTGCCAATTGTTCCGATTTCGTCTTTTCAATGGCTGCCTTTCCTCTAACCTTCTCAGCTTACGTTCGTCTTCTTCTTCTTAGCCGCTACCGATGCATGCGAAATAGAAGGTTGAACTGTCTGCAGCAACGATGGCTTCTTTGTATCAGGTTTCAAATCTCCTTTTATATTAATTTTCTTTGTTGCCAATGGCCAATGGCGATCGACCGTTTGAGAGTAGTCCAGACCTAAGCAGAAGGAATTCCACGACATATTTCTTGCAATGGCAGACTTGCCACTTGCGGATTTTGTCTTCTCAATGGTAACCTTCCCGCTATCTTTACGATACAAATGGTTGAACTGCCTCCAGTAACTATGTTTTTTTGCAGCAAGTTTGCTGTTTCCCTGTCGAACTCATCCTCTTCATTGCCAAGGACTTTCAGGAGGATTTGGTTTCCGTAGGAATAGACCCATTGTCTTCCGCCTCGTTTTGTGTGGGTACTTTACTTCTGTACAATGGATACCTTTAGGCACCTCATTGGTAGAGGCTTCGACAGATGTAGTCATCGAACATTTAAGGGTTGTCACGACCTTTGACGCTTTGTAATCAGAAGTAATCCGTTTTCGCTTTTTGAAGCTTGGTAAACATCTCTCTGGCAATTACTTTCGTCTTTCCAGTGGTAGCCTTACCATGCGAGATAGAAGGTTGAACTGCTTACCGCAGCGATGGCTTATTTGCTGTTACCCCTGTCGAGTTTATTCTCCTCATTGTCAAGTTTGGTTTCCGTTGGATCAGCTCCCACCCCGCCAATGGCAGACTTGCAAGTTGTTCGACTTTCGTCTTCCCACTATTGACTACCGATGCATGCGAGGCAAAAGGATAATCTGACTGCAGCAACGATCGACCTTAACCTCTTCTTTGCCAAGGTCTTTGAGGAGGATTTAGCTTCCCACTGAAGACGGTACCTTAGTGATCTGCTTGTTAGAGGTCTTGATAGGAGTAGCACCGTAGACGATATCAGAATTATTTTATTAGAAGTTCCCTAGTGTCCTTTTGAGGATAGTCCGACCTTTAGGTGTTTTCTAATCCGCAGATTTTGTTCGCATGTCTCTGACAATATCCAATTTGTCTCCAATAAGCCTTCCTGCCAACAACTTTTGGGGCCGTAGTCGGCGGAGGGATCTTCGAAGTCTCTTTGGCTTCTCTGCCCTACGGTCTGGTGATTTTATAGTCACGCTCGTACTTCCTCACGACATTTAGGTGCTTCCTGATAAGAAGGAATTCCTTCTCGATTTTGGGTTATAGGTCGAAACAGAAGATTGCCCTCCAATTTACCTTCCTGTTCTTTGCCTCTTTCGGATTTACTACTTTGGGTTGACTGAGTCGGCAGTGGTGTTTCCAAAGTCTCTATGGAGCATCCATTCTTGGCATGTTGCTTCAGAAGCACTGGATTATAGGCTACAGCCGATGCAGGTAAGGAAGCTTCTTCATCTGAAACCTCGGAATTCTTCAGTATTTCTTCGTGTTTATTGTCCCTGTCGATTTAACGCTTTTGGGCGCCGGCGATTTCGAATTATTTTTGTAGATTCTACCCCTGATTTCTTTGCCCTTCTTAGTTACTTGTCTAAGAAGTACTAGATTTTCGGCTACCGCCGAGGCAGAGAAAGCTATTTCTTCCCTAGAAAACTCGACATTCTTCTGTATCACATTTGAGGTCGATGCTAACCTTGAGAGTTCGACATTCGTACTTCATTGCGAACATTAGAATTACTAATAATCAAAAGTTCATTAACGCTAATTTTTTGGGGATCTTGGTCGACATACATCTGACAACATTTTTACCCCAGTCAATAAGCTTTGTTGTCCAGTGGGTCTCTAGGCTTAGGAGTATTGGGTATTCGATTCGGTAACAGGGTTTCCGTTCTTGGCTCCTTTGTCCTTCGTGAGTTTTTTTAATCAGAAGCACCAATTTATTGGCAACTGCCGAAGCCGTCTCGTAATTAGAAAGCACGGCGATCCCTGTTGATTAGTGTGTGAGGCTTTGATGATCATAGTATTGTCTTCCTCGTCCGTCATCGGGGTATCATCTCATAAGTAAGCTTGAATGCTTTCCTGGCTAATTTGGAAGGTACCGAAAGGTATGTTCATTATTGCCACTCAAAACAGCAGTGTAGTCGTGCCCTCCCGCATCTGAATTCCTTTGCGTTGAGTGTGATATTGTACTTTTGCTACTAGCCTGGTAAAGAATTGGAAAATGAACTATAACTACAAGGTATTACCAGACTCCGCTTAATTACAGTGCAAACGCAATGTCGCGCAACATCCCAGTCTTAAAGAGTCATTCCTCAGGATAGGAGCCTAGGTACCCATGAATACAGGTTAATATTTTCCTCATCAGTCCAAGGATCAGTGTCACTCAGCCATTTCCCCTTTGAAAAGATATTGATCAGCAAATGAGAATTATACGGGCTGTGGTAGCGTGAATGTGAACCGATGAAGGCTTTATATTGGATTCAAGAAGCAACAGACAGAAGGGGCTATGGGAATATATTATCGAAAGAAATAATCGGTCATTAACGAAGTTCGAGATGCAATAGAATATTACTCAGATTAGGTTGATCTGCAACGAGCTAGTTCAAAGGAACTATTGCGCGAAAATTTAAGATCGATGCTAAATCTCAAAACAAAGTCAGCAGGCCTAAACTAATTGGGAGGTTTATAGGGATAAATTCAGTATATACAAAAGCGAAACAAAGAAGGTTAAATGTAGGTCTTGGGTATGTTTTATTGAGTCGATTAACGGAGTTAACGAAGCGTCCCTATTTCCTTGGATCTATCTGGATCTGTAATTTTTTCCGTTCACATAGATTTGAACTGTCTGATGTCTGTATAGACTCTTATTTCCTTCTTTTAATCTATATTTATAGATGGTAGAATTTCTATCATTTTATCATGACGCATGATGACTTAAATTTAATTGACATGCCATCATTCTAATTGACTTACCTTTACCTAAACATGTGTTGGCAACACTTATTAATTACTTACCATTCAATGTGAATTACCCTGTTTAACGTTGTTTTTTCAGAGTTGCATTCCAAACGTCACATTCTTAAAATTTAATAAGACATTTTTGTTTTTATTTTCTTTCTTTTACTTATTTTTTTAATAAATATACATATATAACTTTCTTTTTTTTAAATATGATCTTTTTTTTTTAATAATAATAGTAATAATAATTATATAAATATTAACTCCTCTCCCATTTTAGTGATTTTATTTAATTGTTAATAAATCAGAATGTCATTAAGCTTAAACAATCCAAGCTTTACAATTACAAATTTCCATTTTGTTAACAATTAGTTATGAAAAAATTGTATGGTTTTCTTTTTTCTGTTAAACAATTATATATATAAATAATTATATTTATTTGGCTGTTGTTATGTTTTTGTCTAGTAATCCTTAGATAAAACTGCAAATAGAAAAAGTTTTATATAAAAGGAATTAATTAAAAGGATTTTATAGAAAAGGATTCTTGTTTTTTTTTTCAAGCGGTTACACCAAAGCCAAACGCATTTTAAAGTGTATTTTTTATATATAAGCTATTGTTTGTTGTTGTTTTTTGGTTAAAATAAAGCTTGTATTATAACTATTGTTTAAACTACTATCAACAAAAAGCCATATAAAG